CGTCTGCGTGTCCAGCTAGTCCAGTCTTGCAGCGGCACCGCGGTTCTGGGTTTGTATCCGCTGAGTACTTTTGCTATCTTGTGGTCTTGCAGCGGCACCGCGGTTCTGGGTTTGTATCCGCTGAGTACTTTTGGTATCTTGTGGTCTTCTTTGCTTGTATTGAAAATGTAATTAAACCCTTTGTTTGTTGTGCTTAGATTCCAGGGGCCTCTGTCAAAGATCCAGCGTGCGGTCATCTCGTCGCAGTCGTTTGCGTGCTGAGCGCCTCCTCTTCGAACGTGAAGCGATGGATCGGGTGCAGCGTGCCGTGTTTGCTACCTGCTTCGAGCTCAAGACCGACAGCCTAAACATCAACATGAAGGTAATGGATGTCCTCGCCGCACGCGTCTTCCGTCACTTCCCGCTACTCAACACCTGAACCCCACAAGTCCAGCTGTGGCGCGCATCGAAGCGGCCGTTGACCACGCTGGTGCTCACCGGCCGAGCTGCTCGCTTGGTCCTCGCACCTGGCAACCCCATCCACTACCTGCGAAGACGCCAAGACAGGCAACGCAGCATTCCACAACGACGACGAACAGCCAAGAGAATCAAGCGAGAACCAGAAAACCATCGACCACCAAGCGGCTGTGATTAAGCACTTTATCAAGCACATCAAGCGACAGGACGCTCGCATAGATGCACTCGAAGCTAAGCAAAACAGCGAACCTACACCAAGAAAACGAAGCTGTCCAGAGGAAGGCGCAGATGACGTTAGCACGCTAAGCAAGAAACAGCGCCGGTGACCTCCAACTCACCTTCATGCTACCTGGTTTGCGTGGTACGCTCAAGATCCACGCTGGTACGCACTGGCGCCAAAACAAAAGCAATCGAGAGCGAAGTTGCTGGTAGCCTTCATGAAGATTTTTTCTGTCAGACGGCTTTGTTCTTGACCAAGATGCTGACGACTATCATGACTGTGTTCTTGATGTGGGCAAGAAAGTAGAGAAAGCCGTACTTACCTTCGTAAGTGGCGAGAAGAAGATCAGCTTCCGGGGTGGTCGAGCGCCGTCCTTAAGCACTTGCAGGCTCTTCACAGCAAGGGAGACCTAAACGACAGAATCAAGCGCCACCAAAACCTCCTCTAGTCTGCCGCCGTTCGCGATCCCGCTCCTGGCTACACCCAAGACATTTTAGAAGTTAAGGATTAGCAACAGGAACGCATAGCTAGCGAGTTCAACATACATGTTCGCCATAACGCACACAGCGTAACCACATCTTACTTAGCCCAGATACCTAAGCAGGTAGAGCACCACGCATTTAGCCACTACCGTGACGATCCTCCACCTCACAATCAAAAAGATGGCGACGGCTGGATTTGAACCAGCGTCCTCAAGGCATAGCCCTATGCTCTTCCACTGAGCTACGTCGCCGTTGGGTGAGGGGGTGACGTGGGGTGAGGGGGGGGGGGGCTAAGGAGCGAGAGCCTGAGCTGAGGGGCTTGAGCTGTTGAGTTGGAAGTCTGCGTAGTTGGGCGAAACAAATTAAGCCTGAGCGCAGAGGCCTCGTTGTCGGGACCCGTTTTGTGTGTTTTGAGCTCTGCTAGGCTGTGAGCCACAGGTTGGGTGCGAGTCTAAACATATTTAGGTGGCAGGATAGGATTGGTGAAAAATCGACCAATAACTGCGTACATCTGTAACTGGCTGTCGCTGGTGCTTTTAATAGTAGACCCCGCCACGAAAATCGGGGGGTCATTGTTGAATTTACCTGGCTAAGAGCACATGGCTCCTGGTCGCAAAATACATGTTTTTGTTTTTCCAGCTTTTCTCAGCCCACAGGCCATTTCCTTGCGCCTATAAACATGGTTGCAGCCGATCCGTGTCTCCCCTAACCCAGGTAGTACCGCAGTTGTCAGTAAAATGTACATTCAAAAGTGTTCGTACGGTGTTTGTTTTTTGCATTTGGTACCAGCTTTGAGGTACAGGTTCGAGGGTCCGATAAATTTTGGTATGGATACACCTGTGGGTTTGTGCGACCACGGTAAGTCGCTCACTCTACAAGGATGTCTATACGTCGAAAAACCGGTCGCATTGTGCGTCAGTTGATGTACATATGCGAAGACTACGCAATGAGCTCGAAACGGTACCAGAGCAATTTGTTGTTATGGATGGGTGTTTTATACTTCAAGTATACTTTTTCTTGCTAACTTTGCCTGTTGATGGTTAATAAACGCAGAATTCCAGTCTTACTCATGGGTATTTCCACCAGGAACCTGTTTTCAGGTCGAGCACCCTCTAAGTGCGAGATAAGCAGGTATCCCTTCGAGTGGCCAAGTAATTAGATACTTCGAGGTAGTAATACAATACTGTTACCACTGTAGTTCGTAGAGTTACTATTCGTAACCTGCTTAGGGACGGTTATCGATCAATTTGCCACTGGATCTGCCATGTCCAAGAGGTCATTCTGCTGCAGCTGTAGAAAACATCGCACTTGGTTACCAATGCAGCTCATAACCTCCTGACCGCGAGCGAGTGACTTTGACCCTGATTTTTTCACACGTAGTTTGTAGCAGAATCGAATCACCGCAGCGCAAGTAGGATCCGATTGCGAATAATCTATAACCGACCAGTACGCGCCTTCAATCTCAAGTCCTTCAGTTGGTATCAACCACACTGTCGTCCCGACAACGACAGCTCGGTCTTTCTCTTCGTATTTGCGGAATGTACTTGCCGCGTCCACATACAAGGGCATCTGGCTGGTATCTTGCATGAAAAGCGAGGCTATACAGCTCGTGTCGTTGGTCTCGTCACGATATTGCGAACCCTGTTCTCGTGCCTGCAAAAATTAAAAAAAAAGTAATGCAAATACCGACGTCAGTGGGCACAGCTCGTAATCACCACAGCAAAGTTTACTTACCATGGAAAAGGTTTTTGCAGCGGCCCTGTTATCCTTATAAACGTTAGTCGCCAGAGCAGATCCCCAGCTTCGTGTGCCGAGCAGGCTAGTGGCGTAATTGCAGATATTTCGAAGCACTTTTCTCCTCCTACCATGTATCCAGGTTGTGTATGAAACGTAACATGACGATTGGGGCTCACCGTCGGCACAACTACGTTTGCTTGTAGACGTAGAGACCATAACTTGCTTTCCAAGTGGGATAAAATGAATCCGGTACAATTAGGTTGGAAGAATGGCCGATCGGTGGTGGGCTGCAGTCGTTCGACATAATCCAAGTCCTGACAATTTCACATTAGCATTGAAATGATAGTGGTCCCTCAAAAATAGTTCCTACCTCAAGCACGTCACGTTGTCGAAGCCTTTTGCGAACAGACTCAAAGACTTTTATCCTTTTCATCAGAATCATTTTCAGCAGCTGATTCGAGCGTTCCGACCTTATTCTCTCATCGTAGGCGTTTGTAGCTCGGGAAAACCAGTCATCTCCCTCCACTGTCATGTCCTTCGGCTTGCTGTTGCCATCGTGAGTTTGTTGTAAGCGCGTCAGCTTTTCCATCAAGTATTGGGCTTCTAATCTCAGCGCATGCAATTCGGCTTTCTTGCGGCGGTGGGAGACAGTGGAGGAAGGCAACAAGCTGGTGCCTTCTCTTCGAGGCTTCGCCTTTTTAATGGACTTACTAGAGCGAGAAACGTGGATTTCTTTCGGGGTTGAGGCAAAGTCATCATTCAGGCTAGAATGCTCCGATTCATCGACACTGATGCTGTTGTATATGTCGCCAATCAGGTAAGGCAGCAGCGTCGAGAACTCGTCGGAGAGATCCATGTCTTGTCGTACCTGGCAAAACGTAGACGGAAATCCAGAAATGAGCTTCACGACTGAGTGTTTACGTGGCGCTCTCTCCCGTGGTTGTAAAGTACTTGTACTGTATGTGAGACCTGTAATAACTGGCTGTGACGCACAGCCTTTGCGTTTGGGCAGCGCTGAATGCTTAACGCTACTATGATAAGTACGAAATTATCAGTTTGAAATTTCACAATAAAGTCAATTTTTTTACTACTTATACTTAAGAAGATAAGATTTCCTTATTACCGATACCGGTAACAGACTGTTACTCAGCTTTTGATCAAATCACGCCGAAAGTCCATGGGTTGACATGGACTCCCGGGTCATCGTGGATTGCTCACTTTCTACTCGACGTGAGGGAACAAACAGGAGCTCTATGGTGCTTCCTCCTGCCTCGGAAGTCTTGCCTTTTTTTTTAGATGCCCTGTGAATTCCACCAGGTTGGTACATCGCTTGTTCTCCATCACCCCGTCGTCCGCCATTCTCTCCAATTTACTGACATCCTTGGTCACTTTTGATTTGTGCAGAGCTACATGGAATACTATAGACCCGCATTCCTACCAGAGTTCGGAAAAGCTAGCTAATTATTTTGTTGGCCTGGCTAGCAAGTGGTAATTTATTACTTGGTTTTCGTAATCAGTCTACCACTGGCATGGATCCTCAAAAAGACATTTTCTGAAGATACCTTTTTACTAAAGAAAATAACTTTACTTCGGGGCTGGTCACAATTTGAATATTTAGCTAAGGATTTTTGTATTCTTTCACGAAACTTATTGTCGGCCACCAGATTTATGAGATATCACTTTGCAATTCACACCCACCTCAAACTACCAACTCTCACTACGTTAGCCATGTTCCGACGCTTCTCTGATGCCTTCCCGACGCAAGTTTTCCCCGAAGCCATTACGTTAGTAACACGATCACGCTTCGATGCTAATATGTATCTGCCACATTCGCTGCACGAGTTTTTGATTTGCGGATTTTCGATCTACCACGCGACTAGGCAAAGAAATCCATATAAATGTATCTAGCAAGCAGACGTAGGAGCTTAGAATAATCAAGTAGATGTAAAGTTGTTGTGAGCGCTTCTCTTAAAGAAGAAAAATCTCGACTGAGCTTCTAACTAAAGCTACAAACTGAACACTAGATGCCTTACCTTTCCGTAGATCACTCCCACGTGGAGGCCTAAAGTAAAATCCGGCCTCGATCAGTCGACCAGCTTTCCGCTCTAGACTTAGAACACTGTAGATTGTGTCGGAGGGCGCAGTCACTTGGACGTGGTGTGCGACTCCTGCAGCAAGCAGGTTTTCTGGATGCAAAATCGTAAGAATTGCGAGTCCTCCATCTAGCTTCTTACCGTGACAATTGACCCCGACTACCGCGGACCTCTCGAACACTTCCGCAGTTGGACGCCAACAGCGTATTGGGAGACAAGTGCGGTGTTACCGATGTGGGTAGACCGGACACTTTGCGCGTGAGTGCACAGCGCCTGTGCACTGGACCGGGACCAACGTGGCGATGCCGGGCATCATCGCGTACAATAAAAAGACGATCATAACCAGTAGGCACGGGGCGCCCTACTGGTATTGCAGTCGCGCGTGTCTTCAACGGACACGCGAAACCGAGGACTGCAGCCCCCAGTGAGAGGGATTCTCGCTGCAAGAACCAAGATGACAAGCAAACATCTTGTGCTCCTGAAAGTGACATTGAAGAGAGCAGGGTTGCTTCGTGCTTTGACTGACTCAGGTGCGTCGAACGACTTTGTTCGACTGAAAAGTCACCCGAAGCTGAACTTCGAGAAAGTTAAAGCTCCTTAAAGTGTTTTGGGGGTGTAGTTGGCAGCAGGGGCCATTATAAGCACGGAGAAGCGCGTAGTACAGGTGCGCTTTTTGTGCAAAGACCGGGTGTTTGTGGAAGATCTTATCGTCATGTATCTGACCGATAAGTTTGACTTGGTATTGGGCACGCCGTGGCTTGCCCGGCATGATCCAGGGGTCAATTGGGAGAAGTGTACACTTGTACACTCTGGACGCAACACGACAGAGGGCGATGGTCCTGTCAGTGTCGCGCATATGCCGCGAGGAGCATCCGATCCCACCGTTGAGGCAGCACCGTACGATGCAGCCTCCGGTGCCCATTAACAAGTCGCAACGACTGAGGCGATCATTGGGTCTGTCTCAAATCGGAAATCAGATTTGAGACACGTTCATACTTCAATGACAGTATCAAGTCGGGGATTGATCGATCAAGTAAGAAAGGACCTCACGTCACAGGCAATAGCTATGACGGTGGTGCGTCGGGTGTAACGGGGTTACATGGTGTGGAACACACAGGGGTACGAAGTACCCGGAGAGTTAACAAACTCTCAGTACATAAGTTGGAGAGTTAACAAGGTCTCTCAGTACGTTGGCTGAAAGCCACACGTTATGCATTTGATTAGGTTTAACTATGCTAGATAGTAAAAGAGATACATTTACCCCTAGGCGGGCTTGGCCGCAATAATAGTAAATAAAAAACTTCTGGTTTTGAAGCATAAAAAGTTAAAGGTATTAACTTTGAGCCCTGGTCTTGGGCTGTAAGTGTCCCTTGGATAAAGGAACTTAATATTAGTGACTCTTTGAGTCGAACGTCTTCCTCTGACGCTAAACTAAAGCTACGGCAGCCCCGCTGCACTTGGTAGCACTGGAGTCAATCCCGCTCCTGAGTCGGTTGACTATATTCTCTGCGAGGATGGAACACCCGTGTTCGCGAATTTTTTCCCCGGCGCAGCAGGACGCGCTTACTAAGCTTATGTCCTTGCTGGGCCCGGAGGGCGTAGCTCATCTTGCATCGCAAGGTCCAGAGGCGGTCACTGCCAGGCTGGAATCGTTCTCCCGCTACGAGAACGCGCTCTTGGAGCATGTCCAAGAGAAGATGAGCGCCGCAACGGCGGCGGCGTCGATGACGCGTGAAGAGTCTATGAGACCGAAACCGCTCATGGTGAGCGTAAAAACCTTCGAGGGGAAGGATGGAGAGAATCTCCTTCTCTGGACCCGTGAGGTCGAGATGGCCATGGGATCGGCCCTGCTCCAGTCTGAGCATCAGCGCGTGGAGCTGGCTATCTCCAGGCTTGGAGGTCGCGCTCGCGAATGGGCACTAACGTGCGGCACGTCTGTTGACGCTGCATTTCCCACTTGGGATCAGCTGAAGCAACAGCTTTCGCGCGTGTTCGCGCCGCCTAATCAGGCGTACCGTGTCCGGTCGAAGTTCCTTGCTACCCGCCAGGGTAAGAAGGCGTTATTGGACTATGTCCAAGAGTTGAGAGCTCTTATCGCCGGAATAGCGGCGGACCCTCTTCCGGAACTGGTCAGTGTGACCGTGTTCATGGAGGGACTTCGTGTAAGCGCAGCTCGAACGGAAGTGTTCCGTGTACACCCTAACTCTTTCGAAGAGGCGATGAATGTGGCATTAAATGCCGAGCACAACTTCAGGTCGGCTCGACCTGGTTGGAGCGCTAATAGCGCAAGCTCTTCGAGCGGTCCAGAGCCGATGGACCTCAGCTATGCTGAAGGTGAAGAAGCGGAGCTTCTTGCTGCGGAGCTGCATGCCGGCATCCGCCGATGCTTTGGGTGCAATAGCACTAAGCACTTGAGGGCATATTGCCCTCTGCGCAAGAAGCGCGGGGCTCCGGCGAGCCAACCCTTCGGGTCATCGCCGGGAAACGGCAATTCCCAGTAGGCGCGGGGCGGCCTACTGGGGAAGAACTGAGTTCTGTTGTGCCTCGAAGAGGTAGAGGGCAACGGGGCTCAGCCTTGAAGAGAGCTGAGCTCTCTTACGAGAAGAGTGTGTGCAAGCCGGGCTTGCTGGTCGTTTAAGCGAAAGTGAAGGGCTTTGCAAAGCCATGGAGAGTCTTAATGGACTCGGGAGCCTCGGGCAACTACGCCCGTCGCTCCACCCTAGAAGGGAGTCAGCTGTATGCTGAAGCACTGGAAGTGCCAACGAGAGATAGGATCTCTGTCCGTCTCGCGACGGGGACACTGGTAACTGTGTGTGTCGAAGGTCTCTGTCGACCTTGGAGTGAAGTTTGAGAACTTCGATAGCGTGGAACGCTGTTTTGTCTTAGACCTGGATGCGAGGTATGACCTCATCGTTGGCATGGCATGGCTGGAACGCCATGAGCCATGGATCGACTGGAAGTCGAAAACGCTGGGTGCGTCGCACCCTGCTCCTAGTGGAGCGTTGGTGAGTCATGAACCCACCTCTGCTAGGAAGCAGAAGCGCTTTTGGCGCGAGCACGAGGCCGAGGCGGCCGTAGTGCTGGACATTGGTATATCCGAAATTGTTAGCAACGAGGTTGCTGTTTGCCCTGAGGGCGTACGTGGTGCGGCACGTTATCCGCTGAGCGGTGCAGGTCAGGTCAAGGACCAACTGCTGGGTCCTGGTGAGGACGAGCGCGGAGTGGCGCGTAATCCACTGAGT